TGAATGAATATCAATGAATTGAATGATTTCCACCTTTTCATTTACTCTTTCATCATAACCGCAAGTTATAACTAAACGGTAACGTTTTCAATCGCTTCCAGATAAAGTGCGAGGCAATGTTACAACCAATGAATGATTCTTTTTTCTCTTGAAACGATTAATGTCTAAGTATACATTTGACAAATCCAAAGGATTGTAAATTTTAAATTTTTTTTATCCGTCTGATCAAAATGCTTTGTATTTAACGACGAGTACAACGCTTCAGGACTGATACTTATTCTTCGGAAAGTCTTCTGAAATACTCCCATCATCAATTCCGCACCTCCTATGCCCAAACCTGGATGTAAAAACAGCACGCGACCCATCTCGTCACCACACCAACAAACAACATTGTTTAAGTTATTTTGCGGCCATACAATTATTTGACACATCACATCGCTTGTGCTCAAGACTAATTTATCGTTACGTGTATTTGTTTATATTTCATTTAGTTTACATTCATTTCCACCTCTATGTTTTTAGTTGAGATTTTTGGGTTAACTGCATAAGAATTCGTTTGCACTAGAGCAAAAATTAAGTAACAGAAGCGTGCTTAGAAATATAAGAATTTGAAATTGAACAACAGAAACAAGATTTAGAATTTGTAAACTAGTATAACAATTCTTGTACGGATGTTTTATATACTTTGTTTAGTGTGGACATGTTTTTAAGCCAATCCTGTCCGTTTTTGCACTGATATTCCAAAAGATGTATCACTTAAATCATTTAAAGACATTAAAAGGAAATTTTCCAATCAAATTACCACGTTTTAGAAGGGTTGACTTTTCTAAAATATAAACTGTTGTAAGTTTTAATCATACTATAGAATTTTGAAGTTCCTTGTATTTTTCTAAAAAAGAATCTGTTGTAAGCTTTATTCATACTACAGAAATTTGAAATTCATTGTGTTTTTCTAATAAAGAACCTGTAACTTTTATTCAGACTATAGAAATTTGAAATTTCTTGTGTTTTTCAAGGCTTTCTCTAGTGGCACTTGCATGGATGTCGTCATGATCTTAGTAAAGCGTTTGACTTAGTTAGCCATTTCTTCAAACTCCAGCCCTCTGGCATACCATTGTACTTAATGAAACGGATAAGCTCTTATCTGCATAATAGATTATTTAAGGTTTAAATTCATCACCTCGGCGAAACACATATGAGAAGAGCAACAGTTATGTTGTCACGTATTCCCAAAACGTTTTTCTGAAAACTGCATTCCCAAGCGTATAATTTTAGACCTTAAATAAAAAATTATCAATAAAAATTAAATTTTATTTCATCACCACCTACCCCAATGTCGCTTAAAACTTTGTTCGTTAATTTAACACGTTCATCTCTACATTTCATTGGCGAATTTGATCATTTTTGACACACTTAGCAATAACTCCATTGAGAGGTATTAATTATTAATATAATTAGTAACATTTGTGGAAAGTTCAATGAAATCTGTTAAATCTTTTAAAAGTTTAAGAAAATCTGTTGAAAGTTCAGAAATTTTGTTAACGCTTCATTAAATCGTTCTCCTTACTTGCAAGGACATTAAAAAAAGGAATTGAATTTATATTTGGCGATATCGGTGTAGTTTTTAGGAGCTTTAGCAATATCATCAAAGCCAAACTATCGCAAAATAATTTCATCATGGAACCAAGTAAAAAGAGACCACCAAATGGCAGAATAGAAGCCATTCCCTGTTTATAGCCAATCTTCATGTGGGGATTATCAAAAATTGTGGTACCATCTCGGTACTGAGCTTTATGTTGGACAGCACCTACCTTATTATGTTTACGCACATTTTTATTCCAGTAATAGGTAAAAATTGGCGTTATTTCCTTGCAGCTGTCTTGAGCACGTAAATCCCAAATATCCTTTTCTTCGAAAGGTTTACGATAAAACCAATTCAACAAACCACTGAAATGAATTATTACGTAATGCTGAAGTGCCGAATCATTATAACCTTATTCCTCCAACAAAGCAATAACATCGCTCCAATAATGCTCAAAATATTGTTATGAAATTCGCTTTTGTAAGATACAGTCCGTATCACTGGAGCGTGGATATTTTGATCAAGAGATATACACTACAAAGTTCTTTTATTTTACTACTTTGTCTTTCACAACAGTAGGAATATTTATTTACAATTATATTTCTTACATGTAGGATTATTTACAATTTATTTTGGCCGCACTCTCAGGTCAAAAGTTCTTGCCCGACTAACTCTCCCTTCCACAGATATTCTATTTACGTACATTTTTACAAGCATGTTACTATACCTAAATTTATGGTTTTATTTCTAATCCCAGCCTGCTTTTCCGCTAATCGTTTTCATCGGCCTGCAGTTGCATGAGGCGGCTACGAATGCTCATTTGGTTTTTCTTTCTTCAGGGAATCTATTATTACGAAAATTATTTGGCTGACATTAACTGAATTTGAGATTTTCGTAACAATATACAACTTTTTCAATATTTAAAATAGTCGCGGCTTCTTAGCTTTTAGAAAAACATTCGAATACTAACTTGGAGCACTGTATATTATATACAGTAAAAGCTGCTTATTCGGGCTTCCTTTATTCGCGGTTTCACTATTCGCGGGTGAAAAAAGTGCGACCCAATTCCCATATTCGTGGCTATAAATTTCTTTATTCGCGGATTTTTTTGTGACTGGTTCCGAAATTGTTTTGTTTTTGAAGTTGAAACTTATTTAAAAAAACAGTAATCCGCCTGAGTGGCCGAGTAAGCAGGAGTCTCGACTAGCAACTCAATGGTCGTGGGTTTAAATCTCAAGTGCGGTAGAGTTTTTAATAAAGCCGAAAGCCTTAGATGCTAGTGCGTTAAGACATTAGTCTTATTATTTATTCTCTGGCTAAATTTATAATAATAAGAATAGTAATGATAATAATAAAAAAACAGTATTTAGACTTTAAAGCACTTCTAGTTTTGGATAACCCACCAGGAAAGGACGAGATGGTTTCGAACAGATAGAATAAAGTGACATTCAGGAATTGCTTGAATCGCAAGATGAAGATTTGACTGAAACCGACTTGGAGGAAATGTTAAATTCACCGCCCATTGAAGAAGAGGCTTCAACAGGCACTGGAAACATGGCACTTCATTTGAAAAGTCTTAGTGAAGGTTTAATTAAGAATGGCAAATTATTCACCATGAAATAATAATTTATGGATAATAATTAAAATGACTGTAACCAAAGAACAGCAGACCCGCATTATTTCTCTCAACTTTATAAGAAAAATCAACTGAGGAATGAAGTTTTATATTAACATAAAGCTTTATTTGATTTTATTGAGAAAGATGAAGCTAAATCAATAGCATCACAGAAATAAATTCATGAGTCTACTTTCGACGTTCTTCTTCTTTACGTCCTTGTTATTCAATTCCACTTACCAATTTGAAAAATGTTGGTGCAAATAGTATTATTTATTTATTTATTTATTTATTTTAATTCTACTTATACATGAAACTCAACTAAACAAATAACAGTCGAGTTCACTTGGCACTTAAAGCAAAACTTATATTAATTAATAATAAAACTTAGTATAAGTACAATAAAACAAATAAAAAGGAAAAAAAAAAAAAGCATGTGCACAGCTATTAAATTTATTATATAAAAAATCATAAGAACTTAATATATAAATAAGAAATTTTAACCACATAAACAAAACTTCACCACACGGTCTATTAAAATTCACTTCAATTTTCAACAGTTGATAAAATTGCAAACTTTCTGTTGGCAACTCTTTACGAACGGCGTTGCATCTATTGTTGTAAATATGTATATTATAATACTGAAAAGAAAGCTACTAACGTTACATTAGTAATAATTACCTTTCATATGACTCCAAGTATTCGTTATGATTTTTTCTCGAATTCGAATGTCTTTCTGACTTTGCGTAAATTGTTTATGCAGCACATCGGGTCAACAATCAGAAAGCCTACAGTAATATAAAAACTATATGTATGTTATGTTGAAATTTATTAACGTCATTAAAAAAGCAATGTATTTAAATGGCAAGAAATTTACTAATTAGTTAATTTAAAGGAAAAAGAAACCGAAAAGTCAAACACCCAGTTTTCTAACAGCTGTAAAAAAGTGGAGGAACAAAGAAAATAAATTTATGTTCTTTTGTTCTTTTTGGTATTATCCATACAATTTTCGTAAATCTGAAAAACCGTCCGTTAGCCCGTAGTGCGTGGAGTAAGTGCATGCTCATTTTTCACTAAAGAAAAAAGCTGGTAACCTTAGGCTTATAAAGTAAACATGGGAATACATTTTTTCTTTCTTTTATTCTCTCTCTAATATATATATACACATTCGTAAGCGCTTTTTAGTTTGAGAGATTGATTTGTCAAAAAATATGATGGAAGCGGAGTTTTCGGTTTCTCATAAGAATACAAAAACTTGTGCAAAAAAATTTGATAGAAAATAAGAATGTTGGTTTTTTAAGTGAAGTAAAATACGCCATAATCAAGAAGAATATTAAGAAAAATTGCTCCCATTTATATGCAATTGAAAGCACAGAAATGTAGAAAATAATTCTTAACTATATATAATTTAAAAGATCATATTCCCAACATTGAAAAAAAAAACCTTTAAAGTGTTTTATAAAACGTAAGCAGTGAAATAAAACAAAATCGTACGAAGAAAATTAACAAAAAATGTAACATAATAGCAGAAAAATTTGTTGATATTAAAGGAACAAAATTAATTACGGAGGGGGATAAAGAATTAAAGATTGCTTTCTCGTAGGGCACATCCAGACCTTACAAATGTGAAAACAAGGCGTTTCTCGTTTGACTAAACCTTATTTTTAGATGTTACGAAAGCCCTTATAAAAGCACTCTTTAATCACAATTTTTTTTGAAGATTTGTTGATTTCTTTATGTTGTTTTATTATGCTATGCCTTCATTTTTTCTATACTTGCAGTGCTTGTATAATTTTCTTTTTGTTTCCTTTCTCTCTATGGGTCTTGTTTGTTTTCTTTCTTATGCTCTAGAGTTACCATAACACAAGTAGCTTATAGCATTAAAAGTGTTTTAATTAAATGTTTTTTAGTCTATCTCCATTCAACATACCAAAAAAAAAAAAAAAAAATTAAATGTTAAAGAATTAAAAAAAAAAAATGCTTTTCCTAAACAAAACTTGTATGGAAACAAAGTAGGAAAGTGTAAAATATAATATAAAATTCACTAGAAAGTATTTTCAATTCAAAAAGTACTAGAAGAGTCGTGATGATCGTCGAAGGAAAGGTAAATATTTTAAACATAATTTAGTGTTATTGGTTATTTACTTTTACTAAATTAAGGTTTTATTTAAGAGGTTTCACATTGTGTATGCGAATTCTTCTCTTTCTTTAAAAGCAAAACTTTTACTCCAGTTTGGGCAGGAGTTTAGTAGGTGTTGGTTGGTATGATTTGTGTGAAATTCTGATGTGTTCGCAGTGAAAAGAAATAGATATATTGGCTTTAACGTCCCCTTGCAATAAGATATTTTTAAAAAGCGTATTCTCGACTAGCAACTCGCTTTAGAAAATTTTGTTGTCCTCCTTTGTTGGAGCTTAGCCCAAAATTAAGATATTAACATTGACAAACGTAGTTATTAAATAGTCATAATCAGTCTGAAGATAGGTAGGTAAGCAAGCCTACGAATTTTAAAAAACAGTGACAATTCATGTACTTTGCTTTTTGCAGTATTAAATATTTTATTTCAGAATTTAGGAGTAGGATTAGTTGTTCCGATTCTTCCAATAAAGGAAAAATTTGGGTAGTTACAAAAATGTGCTTTACTATGAGAAATTGTTCACAATTGCAGATTGGAGCAGAACAGTAGTTTCTATTTAAGCTTTGTTCCAATGTATCTTTGAACTAACAACTTTTGCATGATATCGTCCATAATAACTTCGTAGCTCGATCAACTTGCTCATTTCCAAAAAAAATTGATATGACTTTGTTCTCAAAACATTTTAATTTTATCGCGACATAATGATTTTCTTTAATTTGCTGATGGTGCTTTGACAGCAAATAGAGGGATTTCGAATAGCTTACAATACTAGACTATTAATTGTGTTAGTTAATTAGTTAGTTAACAGTGTTAACTTTAGTTTTGCGAACAATTCAAAGCGTGAAGCACAGTTCCGGCGTTGGATGTGACAGTTGAAGCACTTTCGTAAAGTGTGTGATTAAGAAGCACTTGTCTTGAAGCAAGAGGCAGACCGTAGGATTCAGAGCCATCTGCATATAAAAGATTCTAACCGCCAGTCTCCAGTATTTGGGTTTTTCCAGAAATTATACCCCTGAAAACGTAATTTGGAGTGTCTCCTTTCTTGTAGATAGGGAAAGAGAGTAGTCTTTCAAAACTCATGGCGGGTTAAGGCGAAAATTGCGGGACATTTTTAGGGGAAATTTCAATTTTTTGAGATACAGAAAGAAGTGATGGGAAAAAACATAACACCTACTGTTAAGTGGAAATAAGTGGGAGAAAGAAAAAGACTAAGTTGGGGAAAACATAATACCTACTACTTAATAGTAAATTGCGGATCGTGGATTTCTAATTTTCTTGGCAATAGTAGTCTTTCTTGCATCTTCAGAGAGAATAGGATTGTTTGGGTTGAGAAGTTAGTTTTTAATTCATGAAGTACATATTCTAAAACTGGACGGTCAATTTCATTTATGATATTGTTGATGGGTATCATGCAAAAGGCATTGATCTAAGGGCTTGGTGATAGACTGGTTTAAGGATGTTGATATTAGATTTGCAACTGATGCCATAGGCAATCTTGCTTAAAACGTTCATTTTGCTAAGGTAACCAATAAAATATGCGTGGCTTTTCCAAGCAATATATTATGTGAAGTTCACCCTTATTTAAATGGGATTTTTTAACTGAAGACAATGTGATGTTCAACGATATTTGTTATGAACCCGAGAACATTGAGCGTCTGTACATTTTGTTTTGGTTGATTAGTAACATGCATCAGTCGATTTTCCCCATCACACATCCGCTTTCTACCAATTTTTTTGACTTTTGTATTGAAAATGTTGCGCCTGATAATAAAGTTATCAGATAAGAAATTCAAGGCTTTGCTAAAGCAATAAAATAGATATATGGGGTTTGAATCGAATGTTAGAGACTTTTCGTAACACAAGCATGAAAGCGTAAATGTGTCCTCCTAGATGCAAGGCAAACAAGGTAACTTTTATGCATTACAGGAGTTGCTGACCTGAAATTTAGGTCAACGGCTAACTTAAACCTACTTGAAAACTGTATTGATATGTGCTGTCTGTTTTGACAAATTGAATTAAGGAAGATATACCGAGTAAGTAATGTAAAGTATATGCATGAAGGGTATTCTGATTAATTTTTATCGAATGACTATTTGTTTTCTTCATAGCGGATGTGGTTTAACAGCATTGAAAGCTAAGAAAGCAATATTTAACTTCTTGCCTTTCTGACTTTTGGTGGTTTGTGCATCCGATGCAAATATATAAGTTACTTTTCAATTGATGGAGATCAATCGTAAACATATTTGCCAAATGTCAGGATGATATATTTTTCATCTTTTTCTTTTTTATTTTTTTTTTTTAACTCTTTGTGTATTTGAGAAAAATCCCTAAATTTGAACATGCGTGCAGACGTTTAAGTCTTAAGTCTATTGCTTTACATGTTCTTATTACATATTTGTTCGCATCACAAACGACTTGTTTCGATTAATATACTTTCATTCAGCCGCTGCGCTGTAAAATATATAAATAAATACTCATGAAAATAGTGTTATATATAAATAAAGTTCATCTGACCTTGACTAATAAAGTTAAAGATAGACGAAGATTTCCTCATGACGTTTTTATCAAATAAAGGTATTTGGAAGAAAAAGAAGAAAAAATAAATTAATAATTCCATTTAATAAAAAATAAATTAATAATTCCGTTAATTTAAAAAGCAAATTGTTTTGAACATAAACAAAAATAATATGGAAGCTTGTGAATAATTTTAAAAATTTATGAAATCGCCCTCATAATATTTTCGAAAAAAAGCGAAGAAGAATATCGTAAAAGCAAATAGGATCAGCGAAATTTATGAACGCATTTTTTTTTTTTAACTAACAATATGGTGTTAATAAAAAATGTCACTTTGGAATTGTTGCTGCTTTTAATAGCCTTCTCTAGCAGTTATTAAACATGTTTGAAGTGTTTTTTTAGCCTACGCTTTAAAAAAACGTTACACTGTCTGAATTTTCAAATAGCTTGAATTTTTAATCTCAGTTACGTCCAATTATGTGCATAAATTGATAAAATTGAGTATTTTTTTGAGATATGGACGGGTATTACCGGGATGTAGATAGTCTATGCTACCATTGTTAAAGATATATTAAATTGCTTGTGAATGTATGTAGAGGAGTTTGAAATAAACGCTTCATACAGTTTTAAGAACGTCGGTTCTTTTTTAGCGCACCAATAAAGACTCGTATAAAAAATAAGCCGTTACATGGGGTACAATATTAAGTTTAGTATTTTATTCAATTGCGAAGTGGTGTAGACATTGTCGAGGTATGACGTCGTGTCTTCCTTTTAGCTGACGGAGTGTAACTTTTTGCCAACTTATGGCCATACTGGAAAATCCTTGATCCCTGTTTTTCATTCTTTTCAGCAAACACAGGATGGTTTTGTCATTAAATAAAGTTGGAATTGACTTAACGAAAATTCCCTGTGTGCTGTTCTTTTTGTTGATTGTTATTTTAAAAACGTTGTACAAAAAACATATGAAAGAATGAAAATTCCTTGTGGTCAACATAGTCGAAAAATCGTTATTTCCAAATAAATGACTTTACAGTTTTGAAACTTGTTTTTTTATCATAGTTTATTTATTTATTTATTTACTTACCCATGAATCTCAGCTAAAATAAATTAGTACCTGAATTCAATTGACCCTTTACAAGTAAATCTCATACTAATTAAAATTAAAAACTAATACGAAGTATATAAGGGCAAGTAAAGAAAAAAAATTAAAAATAATAATTCATGTATAAATAAAAAAGAAAGAACAAAAGAAAAAAGAAAGGAAGAAAGCATGTACACGACTAGCGCATAGCAAACCCACAACCAGTACAGATCTAAGCTCCAAGTGAAGCCTTAACCCATTGCAAACATGCAAAAGCTTGGCAGGCTGTAACAGTAAACAACACAAGTTAGTTTTCAAAAATAAGATTACAAGTGAGTTTAAATACAACGTAGGCAAATCGACCGTGTTAGGCATAGTTTGTTGATAGACTTTGAAGAATCCGGCATTGAGATTAGCGATAGACAACATCTAGGGTTCTGTAAGCAATTCTGAACGGCTCATAACTATACTTACATTGATTAAGTTTAATGAAAATAAATTGCTTAGAGAAGCGATTAGAGACATTAAAGCTTATCTCCTCAAGTGATGTGGATGAATCGACGGTGCCGTTCATTAACTTAATTAGGAAAGAAACACCAAGAATAAATCTACGTTTCTTAGGTGATGGTAAGGACAACAGAAACAACCTATCTTCATGAGGAGGAAAGCTTAATATGGAAATTAAACGTAATCTTTGGTCAAACGGAACCGATGAACTAATCTATGTTTTCGAACTTGTGTGAATCAATGAAATACTCAGTATTGAATAACTTCCTCCTTGAAAAAGAAAGCTTCTTGCATTTTTTATGCTCTATACCACTTATCGTACAGGGTATGTTAAGTTAGTGCGGTCGTATGTAACACAGAAGGGCTGCGTTATACCTCTTATTATATCGATTGATTTAGAATCGTAATCTGAATTGATCTAAGCTTGTCTGTCCGTCTGGTCGTTTGATCTCTGTCCATGTAATTTTTTTTTCAAGCTACAGGTCGCAATTCTGGACATATTTCAACAAAATTTTGTACAATGACTTGTTTTAACCCAAGGACGAAGGATATTGAAAATGGTTCGGATCGGTCCACTTTTTTGAAAAGGCCTTATGTGGAAAACAATTCTAATATTCAAAATTTCTCGGCAAAAGCAGTTGGCCTATAACAGTAATTTCACACAAAAATAAGAATTGTGTTAGACAAAGCGGTGTAGGGTACTTAATGGCCGCCTTTGTTCGACTATAATGCTTTTGCTTGTTTTCATATTAAATAGTTCGTCCGTTAAGTAGTGAAGTATTGTGGATGAAAATAACAGACAAAAATAAAAAGTAAGACAATTATATTCGAAATTATGTCCGAATCTTTTAAAACAGAGGTGTTTTT